AGAAACATAGAAAGGGTACTATTTTCCCAGTAAAGCACCTAAAGTTAGCTGTCCACCGTGGACAAATGCCCAGTCAAACAGGATTGACCTGCATAGGGCCCATGGGAGCCCAAAAGCTTGCTGCCAAGTCTAAGGCACCTTCTGACTGGCAATAGGAAAGGGGCGGGAAGGATCAGGCAAGTCTGCCACAAAAGGGGCAAAAATCAAAGAATAAATCAAGATGACAGTTGCTTTTGTCAACCTCCCCAAGTGTCTCTACAGGTCCTCCATGTGTGTTTTTTAAGTCCCCCAAGTTCTAGTACAAGTGCAAAGCTGAGAAGCAAGTAAGCCCACTCCACTTGTCTCTCTTTCCTTGTCTTTACTCATGTCTTCATTGGGCTCATCAGCCTTTGTGTTATATGACTTCACCTGGCGGCTGCTCTGCTCCATCCCCATTAGATGGGGCAGGGAGCATAGTACTCCTTACTATAGAGATAGCTCTGTTACCATGTCATCATTGTGTTTGGTCCTCCCTCCTCTTTTGTAATTATCCTCAGTGCTATTAAGGTTGGTCAGTTATGGCCCCATCTTTTCTAATTTTTAGAGACATGCTGCTTGAAACTATAATACATTATCATAATACTTACATTCTAAATACCTGTGGAAACAAATGTCTTAACCTGATGACAAAAAGATTTTTTTAGAGCCTTGATTTCATGTCCTAGACACATTTTCATATGGAGCATACTCAAGTTGGTACTCATGCCTTTGTTCTAAGCCAGAAAAAGTATTTCTGTTCTTTTCATAATTTTTTCAGAAAACACAGTTTGCAATAACATGCATATTTGAAGGAAAAGCACCAGAGATGAAACTGAGCAGCTGTCTATGGTCCTTATTTGAGGAGATCCCACTTCCTGATTTGTCATTTCTGAAACTTAGAAATTTAATCTCCAAAAAATTGTTAAGGGATGGTTGTAAAATACAATCACTTCATTCAGTGTTGTGTCTGTAGACATGAAGTATATTTTTCTTTAAGAAAGGAAAAACTAAGAAGAAAATGTCACTGGACATCATTGATACATAAGGATAGGTCACTAGGGAAAATACTGTGATACTTTTCTCTTTTACGCCAAGAGGACATTTAGTCTAAGCTTCAATGTCCTTCCTACAGTTTCACTAGATGTCCTTCCTACAGTTTCTTTTCATCCTTGTACATATTTCATATCAAAGGTTTAAAGCACTAACAGGAGCAAATCCATTAATTTCTTCGCAAAAGGTGCTCTGCCCGTAAGAGCATGGGTGTTTACATTCTCATGAATGAAACTCAGCAGGCACAGACAAATCTGGTGAAGAAGGAATCTGTTGAGTTTTAGAATATTTGGAACACTGAATTAGTTCAGGATTATGAAACTTCAACCTCCCTTTGTAACTAGGAGGCTGGATGCAATCCTTCTTTCCTACATTGTCCATTGACTGCAGGCCAGGAAGGCTACTGGTGTTTGTTGCCTATGTTCATATCATAGAGCCAGCACTTGGAGTTTCCACAATCACATAATCACAAATTGTCCTCCCAGTGATGAGGAAATAAGACTCCAGCATCAGAGTGTACACCATTCTGTGTATGTGCACCCAGCTTGACCTTTAGCACTAACTGGGACTTTGAGCACTAAGAAGGGACTTGGCACAGAGCTCCATGTTGGTGGTGGCGGGGCAGCACTTTAACTGGTAATATGTTTTTAAATTACAATTTTGGATTGATATGCTTGAATAAGTTTAAGTTGGATTTTTTAAATGATAGTATTTCTAAGAATTTTTTTAAAAAAAGATTTATGCATGCATGCAGAACTGGGTACAGGCCATTGGTGCAGGGGTGGTAGGAGGATTCACCAGAGACAGAGGGGCAAGCAGAATAGGCCGACTGATGAAGTACACTGCTGAGGGGAGCAGCGGGGGTGTCAGGAGAGGTCTGCTGGGCCATGTGGATCACCTCCAGGGTGGGGGATCGAACTCATGCTGGAGTGACTTTAGTTTCTTAGTGCTGTGCTTTAACCCGCCGCACCACCAGGGGACGCCCTTGTAAGAATTTTTAATGGCAAATCAGTTAACAAATAACAAGACAATTTGTGTCTTGTCTCTTAAAATAGTGTGTGTTTGAATTGCTTCTGCGATTCTTAAAGTTTTGAGCAATTAAATAGGAACTGCTGGTGGCTCAACAGTGATGTATCACTTAATATTTTGGACAAAGAAAATTGCATAGGTGATGATGGTCTCAGTAGGCGAGAGCATATAGCTTGGGTGTGTTGTGGGCTGTACCATCTGGGTTTGTGTAACTTTTTAACCCTGAGGTAGATATGCTAGTGGAATGATGTTTGCAACAAGTTGTGTGCTCTTTTATAAGAAGTTGAAGTGGGACTGTGATACCCACAGCTGGACCCAGCTGGCTGTTCCCAAGGTGGTGACTGAGTGGCTAGTGCCAAAAGGGCAAGTGAAAAAAGTGCTGGATGCAAAAGGAAACCTGAGTACAACCACCAAGACTCCATCCTGAACACACCTGTCTTCCCCTAAGGTATGGGGAGAAGGTGCTTTCAAACACAACTTCTCCTTTCTCCATGTCAGGCAATAAAGAGCTTGGCTTGTTGAACAGAACCTGGTTTGTAGAATAAGTGACTTTCAGTCACTAGGCAAATGGACCCTGCCTTATGGGGTTTGGGGGAGGTTGCCACTTGGTGACGGCTACACTTAATGATGTTTGCATAGTAAATTTGCCTAATGATGCATTTTGGCAGAATGTATCCTTGGTCATTAACTGGTGTATGACTATAGTTACCTTCCTTTTCATAGCTCACCTAATAATGTTGAGCATGAGAATGGAATCTGAAAGGGTTGGTGTGAAATGACCTCTGAAAGGTTGATCTCAATAGAAAGCCACCAGTTATTTCACCAACAGAATAGGTTTATTTAGAAACAACAATAAAAAGGCAATTTGGAAAGTACAGTCTCAGGTGAGACTCGTGTGCTTTATCCAGAACAAATACCATATAGCTTTCAGACAGACTGTTACTGGAACTTTAGTTTTCAGAGTTTTAACTGTGGGCTCTTTATTTAAATTAAAAATCAAAAACAAAACAAAGTGAACATCAGGTCAATCAATGCAGAATCTCTGAGAATTGGTCTGGATTTTGGAGTTTCTCACAAGCTCCATGGTTATTCTAATATGTGATTACTAAGGTTGCGACTCTAAGTAAAATCCTCAAAAAATAAATAAAAAGATTGCTATCGTGCTTGGAAAAAACGATGGAATTTGTGAATTTACAACAAGCCCCGAGCAGTTTGACAGATGATAGAGCCATGCCCATTGTTTGTATAAAGATAAAGAAACAGGCTGGGGAGGCCACATGATTTGCCTAGTAGCTCATTTAGGCAGCAATCTGTACAGGAGATAGGAGCAAGTAGATGTAATTCTAAATGAGGCTAGCATTTGGGTTTCATCATGAAGATTTTTTTTTAATGTTTTAATTATTTATTTATTTTTTTAAGATTTATTTATTCATACAGAGCTGGGGTACAGGCCAGAGATGCGGAGGGTGAAAGGATTCACCAGGGACAGAGTAGGGAGCAGAACAGGCAGATCAACGAAGTACACTGCTGAGGGGAGCAGCGGGTGGGGTCAGGAGAGGTCTGCCTCGCCATGTGGATCTCCTCCAGGGCAGGCGGGAATCTAACTGATGAGGAAGTGGCTAAATCTTCTTAGTGCAGTGCTTTAACCCGCTGCGCCACCAGGGAGGGCCTCATCATGAAGATTTTTAATGGTTTTAGACAAACTCTAGTACCTTTTAAGTTTTGTTCAGATACTCACAAATGTATGCTGTTTCTTTCGAGGCAAGAAAAGTATGAATGAGCTCAATGGATAAAGCTCCTGGAAATGAATTCAAACCAACTTAAAGCCTTTATGGGTGTAGAGCAACATAATAAAGAATAAAAGGTAGATGCAGTGGAAGTTTGAAGAGAGTATTGTTCCAGCAATAACCTAAATCTGAAAACATATTTATCAATAATAGGGAGATAATAAGGTATAATAGGTGGGATAAGAAAACACTTGAAAAAGATGGATTGCGGGCAGGTGGTTGGAGGAGTGTGTAACAGAATAGCGAAGTGCATGTTTTGAGTTCACTGCAATGGTTAGAGGGATTGGAAGTGCTGAGTGTGGTTTTTATCTGCACCAGCATCTTCATCTGATCATCTACCTGTATTGTTAATCTTCACCTGTATAAAAGGTTCACATTGTCTTTTTTTTTTTAAAGCTTTCAGTTAATATTACCACTTTTGAGTAATACTAGTTTCTGTGGACTGGAGAAATTGATTTGAATGCTAGCTCTATTACGTATTGTGTTGTGTTGGGCAAATTAGTGAAGCCTCTCAGCCTATTATCATCATTGAAATAAAAACTGTAAAACTTGTGTCACAGTGATTCACTTTGTATAAATGAGATAGCACAAAAAATTGCCTGGCACAAGTTGGTATATAGAGACTACTAACTAAATACCAATATTTATTATTTAGTGTATAAATTTAAATGTAAAATTCTTAGAAGAAATTTGTATTTGCTATCCTGTAAGTTTTGGTGAAAAGTTTTGTATGACTGCTTATATCCTGGTAGGGTTTTCCTCTCTTTGCCCCTTCTGTCTCCTTAATTTCTGTATAATACCTTCTACTAATTTTGAAGTGTCTTTATTTTTGTCATGGCTTATGTAGAGTGAAGGGCTGCCATACTTATTTCCCATTGAGAATACATACAACTTAAATTACCTGCATTTTACAGATGATTTCAGTAATTTTTTACACTGATCTTAGCCAAAAGGCTGAGAAGTGATAATTGCAATCATTTTTTAAAAACAGTGTAAAACAGTAATGTGAATCCTAAATCATTAAATTTTTCTTACTTTCTTACTCTCCTTAACTCGCTGTTTTTCTACTTTAGGAGGAAAGCTGATTTGAGGTTTTCTTTTTTGTCTTGATTCTAGCACATGCAAATGACAATCCAGGCTCTCCAGGATGAATTGCGGATCCAGAGGGACCTGAATCAGCTGTTTCAGCAGGATAGTAGCACTAGGACTGGTGAGCCTTGCGTAGCAGAGCTGACAGAGGAGAACTTTCAGAGGCTACATGCTGAACATGAGCGGCAGGCCAAAGAGCTGTTTCTTCTCCGAAAGACTCTGGAGGAAATGGAACTTCGTATTGAAACGCAGAAGCAAACCCTAAATGCGAGGGATGAATCCATTAAAAAACTCCTAGAGATGTTGCAGAGCAAAGGACTTTCTGCTAAAGCTACTGAGGAAGATCACGAGAGAACGAGACGACTGGCAGAGGCAGAGATGCACGTCCACCACCTAGAAAGCCTCCTGGAGCAGAAGGAAAAAGAGAACAATATGTTGAGAGAGGTGAGTGACTACTTCTTCAGTTGTTCAGATTTATTGTTACTTTTCCCTGATTAATCAGTCTCTTAACCTTGCTAAATGTGTATGTTCTGCTAAGCTAGTGGAAGGGAATTTCTTTGGTATTTGGTGCTTTGTTGATTTCTATTTGGAAGATTTATTCTCCTATATGAGATGACATCATCTAGTATGTATGCTGGAGTGGTAATTTTTTGGCCCCCTGGTTATTGCAGACTTACTTTGTTGTTAGAGGGGTGCAGAATTTTCTTGGTTTGCTAACCATCTTTTGTTCATAGAGACCCATGCAACAAAAAACAGAATCAGAGAAAGTAGTGGTACAGCTCAATATAAGTAAATTAATAAGAGAAAGTAAATAGTTAATTCAGTTTAGGTATGCTTATAAGGTTCTTGGCAGCAGTGAAAGTTGTTTGCTTTATGGTTTCCATGGAAGCTGTTGCCTTGCTGTAAAAGATATATAATAAAAGTCATTTGCTACCATGGAGGCACAGCAAGAAAGAATGAGAGGACGCGCGGTCACTTATTTTTCAGAGAGGAAACTCAGAGTTGATCTGACTATTTAACTATTGGTAATTTTTCAGTCTTCTGGGTAATTCTTCATTAAAAAAAATGAAGCATTCATTTTAGATTGAACTCAAATAAATTGACAACTATAGTGTCATGATTTTTTGGGAGGCATTTCCCCCTTTTCTTGTCAGTACCAAAAACAATGATGTGTGTTTATAATCAGTTGAATCCTAGGCTGGTGAAATGCCATAACATTTAAGTGGCATTCATATCCATAGTAATATCTGTGATTGGTTTTTCCATTTTACTTTTGAACATAATTCCATACATATCAGGTAAATAATTCCCCTATAAAGCCAAAGGAGGAAAAAATTCAATTACGCCATGTATTTCCTGTTTATATTGAAATTACATTGGTATGTGACCATTAGATTTTTTTTATTGTTTATTGTTGTGCCTTCCCTTTGATTGGTTGAGGAATAAAGACATCTATTGGACAAATATTGAACTACAGTCAAAACTTGATAATTGCTTAGAACTTGGGCAAGGTGATTCTATTGTACATCAAAATGTGTCACCTAAATTTTGGATCTAAACTCAATCTACTGGTAGACTTATTTAAGTTGGTTGTGGATTTTTTGGTTCTGCAGTCCACTGCATACCAACCTTATCTGTAGGTCAAATAATACCAATAGAGTCTCTTTATTTTTTAGAATGAAAATGCTATTGTTATAAATAAGACACAAATTGGTTTTGTAACATCACATTCATGTTAGTTTTTATGCTTATAAAATTTCCATCAGCAAACCTTGCTGTTGTGCTAGAGTTTGCAGAAATGTTTAAAGTTAAAAGTTCTAGGGTAAGAATTCTGAATCTTAATTAGTGTATCTGAGGATGGATGTCTGTACATTGGCAGTTGTAAAACTTAAGTAGAAGAGATGGGAGGAAAAAAATAGAGATAAAGAAAAGAATAGAAACAAAGAACAAGAAGAACTGAAATAGAAAAAAGGATCCCTAGTTAATACTTTTGTAGTGATTTTGAAAAATGAAACCAGTTGCATAACTTATTTATTCAGGTCATTTATCCTCCTCTTTTTTTTTTTTTAAAGATTTATTTATTTATCATATAGAACTGGGGTACAGGCCAGAGATGTGGAGGGTGAGAGGATTCACCAGAGACAGAGTGGGGAGCAGAACAGGCAGATCGATGAAGTACACTGCTGAGGGGAGCAGCGGGCGGGTCAGGAGATGTCTGCCACGCCATGTGGTCACCTCCGGGGCAGGCGGGAATCGAACTCATGAGGAAGTGGCTTTTAGATTCTCAGTGCTGTGCTTTAACCCGCTGTGCCACCAGGGAGGGCCTTATCCTCCTCTTTTATGTTATACTGTTTTTGTCTGGCTGCCATTTCGATAAGAAACTGTGTATACTGGAGATGGTGAAAGGTCGAATTGGGACATTCCTGACGTTGCCTGAGTTAAGATCCAGAAAAAGTAGTGAGGACTCTGTTTACTTGCCCTTCTTTATCTGTGTCTCCTGGGTGTTGTGAGTAGAGTACAGCCAGATCTTGTGTGGGGAGGATGAGTCTGGGAAACAACATTGCGAGCATTCTAAAGCTTCTCCATTAGAGCAGGGATGTTGAAGACTAAACCCTAAAACTTGAGAAAAGAGAAATTTCAGACATTAAGTACTATTAGACACAAGTCCACCTTTTTTATCAGTTGTGTAAGTAGAAGTTGACTTAATTTTTTAAAAAAGATTTATTTATGTGTACAGTATTGGGGTGCAGGCCCAGTGCAGGGGTGGTGAGAGGATTCACCAGAGACAGAGTGGGGAACAGAGCAGGCAGATCCACTGAAATACACTGCTGAGGGGAGCAGCAGGCAGATCAGAAGAGGTCTGCTGTGCCTTGTGGGTCATTTCCCTGGCCTGGGATTGAACTCATGCTGCAGTGGCTTTGGCTAGCTTCATAGTGCTGTACTTTAACCAATTGCACCACCAGAAAGGGCCCCCATAAGTTGACTTAATTTTTGGAAGAAACTACTAAAGAAAAGAAAAGTTTTGTTCCTAACTTGTTTTCTAACTTGTCATTTTCTATAGTAAATTAGGGAAAATTAACATGTTTTCTACTTACTGTTTACCTGTTGATAGTAAAACATGGTCCAGATAATTTTTTTTAAAGATTTATTTATGCATACAAGAACTGGGGTACAGGCCAGACGTGTAGGGGTAAGAGGATTCATCAGAGACAGAGTGGGAAGTGCAACCGCAGATCCGCTGACATATACTGCTGAGGGGAGTGGGCGAGACAGGGGAGGTCTGCTGTATCTTGTGGGTCAGCTCCCTGGACAGGGATTAAACTCATGCTGCCGTGGCTGTGGATAACTGCATAGTACTGCACTTTAACCCCTTGTGCCACCAGTGAGGACTGGTCCAGATATTTTTACCTGTATTTTAACATTTTTGAATGGAAATTTCAGACCAAAAGAATAAGTAGCATATTCAACTTGTACATTTGTTTGAATAGTAATAGTATTGTCTTAACAATGCAAGAGTCAGAAGCAGAGTGGGGAAGGGGAATTTAATCAGCTCATTGACTGCAAGATGTGTTCATAATGAGCTTAATGCACAGGCCTCTGATGGAAATTTGTTGTGAGTGATAGGTTTTAAAATGTCTTAATAGGAAATCTTTATGCTTGTAAATGGTTTCAAATGTGTGTTAGTTCCTTATCACAGGAAGACTATTTTTAAAATCCACATGGGGTTCTGTTTTATGTTTTGCTTTCTAAGGTTTAAAGTGAAATGACAGTAGTTTTACCTTAAAATATTAAAAAAAATTTTTTAAAGTTATTTTTAAAGATTTATTCATTCAGACAGAACTGGGGTATAGGCCAGAGGTGCAGGGGCAGTGAGAGGATTCACCAGAGACAGAGTGGGGAGCAGAGTAGGCAGATCAAC